CTGATGCTGCAGCGGTCAACCCTGTCCATCTTCAGCTCGGTTTACGCTTTCGCGAAGGCGCGCAAGCGGAATATCGCTCCTCCCTCGGATTCAGCGGCTCAGGAGTTGAAGTTTGCCAGGAACCTGCCCCCGCTGTTCGTGGCGCACGCAGACGCCGAGTGCCTGCCCTCCGTGACGGCTAGTGACGCCTCGCCATGGGGCTGTAGCGCACGCGTTCGCCAGGCGGTTCCGGAGCTGGCCGCCCGGCGGGGCCGCGCAGCGGAGAAGTGGCGCTACAAGCAGGGCGCCGCCGCGGCCAGAAACCGCGCCTTTGCCGCCGATGTTGCCGAGGCGGCCTGTGCAGAGGACGTTCCTGACAGCCTTCGGCAGGCCGACGAGTTCAAGAAGTCGCACGACATGATCGAGGCGAGCTTCACCTACCACGAGGCCTGGCACATCGTGGAGTCCTTTCCATGGCGGGGCCCAGCGAACATCCTGCGTCTCGAGGGGCTCGCCCTTTCGGATGCTCTGCGGCATGCGCTTCGGGGCCGTCGGGCTCTCGGTCATCGAGTTCTCGCCCTGGTCGACAACGCGGGGCTCGCCCTGGCGGTGGGCAAGGGCCGCTCGGCAGCCTTTCAGCTTCGGGATGTCTTTCGTGAAATAGCCGCCCTAACTCTCGGGCGCCGTCTTCGCGCCCATGTTCGCCGGGTCCTGTCCGAATGGAATCCAGCGGGCAATCCGCCCCGAGGCCTGTCTTGCATCGAGCGGCAGGAGGAGCTCATTGCGGCCGTCACGCACGGCGCTGCTGATCGCGATGCTGAACCTGCTTGGCCTCTTCCAGCCGCCCCGAGGTTCCCCGTCCTCGGCGCGGTCGGCCCCTTACCAGATGTGAGCCCTGGTGGCGTCCCAGGGGAGCTGGCCGGTCGTGCCGGCAGCGCTCTTTGCGGTGGCGGCGGCTGCTCGGCGCGCCCGGTGCCGCCGATCATCGCCGAGTTCGGAGCCCCTCCTGGACTCGCCCCACATGACGTACCTCGAGAGCCGCTCAGTAGCCGAAGCTACTCGCACGGACTACTTCAAGAAGATGAGGTCGTTTCTCCAGTGGGCCCTGGAGTCGAGCCTCTACTGGAAGGACGCGAAAGGTCTCGACGACGCGCTGGCCCTCTACCTGGACAAGCTCTTCTTAATGGGCACGGCGGGGGGCGTGGCCAGCAAGACGTTGGCAGTGGTGAAGTTCCACTACCGCGAGGCGGGCTGCGACGGGGGCCAGAGCTTGCCCCGCTCGGTCAGGGCGCTGGCGGGCTGGGCGAAGGCGGTCCCTCGCAAGACGCGCCTGCCCGCGCCGTGCGTGCTGATGCTGGCCATCGTGGGCTACCTCCTGTCGCGCAACCTGATCGAGCAGGCGGCGGCCGTCCTGCTGTCGCCCCACGCTTTCCTGCGGCCCGATGAGTGCAACTCGCTGACGGCGCTCAAGCTGGCGCCGCCCGTGGCTGCATCGGGCCCCAAGGCAATATGCTGCGGCCTCCTCCTGGGCCCCGTGGAGCTCGAGAAGCCCGCCAAGGTCGGCGCCGGGGGCGAGGGCGTCGTACTGGACGATCTCGACTTCCTGCACCTTCGCCTGCTGAAGCTGATGCAGAGGTGCCGCGCGCCCGACCACTGGATCTGGATCTTCGAGCCGGGCAACCTTACGATCGGAATCCAGGAGGCGGCGGAGGCGCTGGGCGCAGCCGCCACAGGCGCCACCGCGCACGGCCTGAGGCACACCGGAGTGCCGCTGGGAGTGCTGGACTTCGGCAGCGCGATGAGGTCCAACCTCTCCAGCATCGCGCTGGACGGCGCGGCGCTGCCACCAGCGCCCTTCCTGGCGGGCCAGCGCTGACGGACTCCGAGGCAAGGCTTCGCCTTCGCCGCGCTCTGCGGCGCGCCTGAGGTTCAGCAAGAAGTCGCCGCGGCCAGGTTTTCTTGGAGCTTTTCGCTGCATGGTGAGGCGGGACTGTCCAGGGCCATGAGGGCCCAGGTCTGCACCGCGATTTCAGTGAATATTTTGAAACAGCCCTGGTTCGACTTGAACCGCCGCGTCGTTCAGTCGACGATTTCGGCGTGGATTTCGAGCAATGTGGTTTCGGCTGTATGGTCGGGGGCCCCTTGCTGCGCCTGCTCCCAAGCCCGCCGCGGGCCCCCCGGTTTCAGCTGGGGCTGACTGCGTAGTGCCGAGCATATTTGGGGCTTCCCTAATCTGGACCCGAGGGCTTCCGAGGCCTGCAAACGTGGGAACGACCAGTTGCGTTTTTGCTTGCGGGTGGCTCGAGTCTGCCTTCGCGCTGGCACCCCTGCGGCCCTCGAGAACCCCGGGACCAGCTGGTTGTGGAGAGCCCCGCCGCTCGAGCGCTTGGCACGTCACTCGACCAGCCAGGCCTGCACTGTGGATTACTGCGGATTCGGGACTCGTTGGCGTAAAGGGACCAGGGTGCAAGTCTTGGCTCCAAGTTTTTCCGTACAGCTCCCTGCTCTGTGTCACGTTGGATGGGGGTGTCTGCAGTCATTCTTTGAAGCCTCGCATCGTCTTGACTGGAGTGGATCAGAGCTCGGGCAAACTCTGGGCTTCTGAGCCTTATCCCTCCCGTTTCTTTTCCTGTTTTGCTCGGGTTCTGAAAAGAAGTATCGACTCGAATCGTTTATGCCGCTTGCGACAGATCATATCAGTATCATAGTGCGGCAAATGCCAGAATCCCGTTCGAGGTGTCTAGGGGTATTTTTTTCTCTCGCCTCCTCGTTCGTGTGTGTTGTGCTGTGTGTTGTGGTGTGTGCCTTTCCCCTATTCCTCTCTCTCTCTTTTTTTTTTTCTCTCTCTTTCTCTCTCTCTCTCTCTCTCGTTCCGCCGAGCGCAGCCCAGGAGCCTCCGTGTTCGTCGGACCTGGCTGGCCCGAGACACACAAAAGAGTCTCCCGGCCAGGGTAAGTGGCACGATGATGATGATGATGATGATGATGATGATGATGATGATGATGATGATGATGATGATGATGATGATGATGATGGTGACGATGATGATGATGATGATGATGATGATGATGATGATGATGATGATGATGATGATGATGATGATGATGATGATGATGATGATGATGATGATGATGATGATGATGATGATGATGATGATGATGATGATGATGATGATGATGATGATGATGATGATGATGATGATGATGATGATGATGATGATAATGATGATGATGATGATGATGATGATGATGAGGAGGAGGAGGAGGCACCCCTCGCACGTTTCGTGGCCTCATGGGGGGTTCCACCGAAGGCCCCAGTGGCAGCGCCCGCATGCGGTTCTACCCCGTCATTCTGGCGCACCATTCAAACGTTTCGTGGGAGCTCCACCGAAGGCCCCAGTGGCAGCGCCCGCATGCGCTTCCACCCCCCGTTTTGGCGCACCCCTCACACGTTTCGTGGCCTCAGAGGGCTCCACGGAAGGCCCTAGTGGCAGCGCCCGCATGCGGTTCCACCCCGCCATTATGGTACACCTTTAAAACGTTTGTGGGAGCTCCACCGAAGGCTCCAGTGGCAGCGCCGGCATGCGCTTCCACAGCCCATTTTGGCGCATCCCTCACACGTTTCATGGCCCCATATGGAGCTCCACCGAAGGCTCCAGTGGCAGCGCCCGCATCACGTACTTACACCCATTTCGGCACGCCCATCACACGCGTTGTGGTCCCATAGGGAGCTCCACCCACGCGGCACCGCCCGCATGTGGTTCCACACCGTATTTCGACGCACCCCTCACACGTTTCGTGGCCCCAGAAGGTGGTTCCACCGAAGGCCCCAGTGGCAGCGCCCGCATGCGGTTCCACGCCGCCAGTTCGGCGCACTCTTCCTGCGTTTCGTGGGAGCTCCACCGAAGGCTCCAGTTGCAGCGCCCGCATGCGGTTCCACTTTCCATTTAGGCGCACCCTTCACGCGCTTCGTGGCCCCATAGGGAAGTCCGCCGAAGGCCCCAGTGGCAGCGCCCGCATGACGTACCCGCACCAATTTGGGGACAACCGTCGTACGCGTCGTGGCCTCATCGCGAGCCCCACTGAGGACGATCCTCACAACTGTGTTAATATGGTCGGGTCCTCCGCCAGGATGCTTAGGTTACCACCCCCTCAACGGAGACTCCAGTGGGTAAACCCCCCGAGGTCTGGCGTTGCAGTTTCCCGTTTGCTTGGGAAGTGCACTAAGTCTTCGCAGGATCTTTCTTCGCTGTTTTTTATTTGGGGTTCCTCGGCGTTCTTTTAGGCGCAGCCCGCCTTTCAAGGGAGTTGATAAACGGACGTAAACATTCTCTACCATGATTCAAGTACGTAACCGCTGATTCGCAACAATAGTCATGAAACCGCTAATTTTCCAGACCGCAAGCGCGTGATTAACTCACGCGCGGCGAAGTCGAAGGGGCGGCACGCGTGTTTTCTTACTTCTCGAGGCATGCGATGTGCATTGTCGTTTTATGCGCACACCAAAAATACGCCACCACATGCCATACGTTGGCTTTCGTCTATTGTCCGGTAAATGTTTAGGCGCGTCGTCGTCGCTGTTTTTCGAATCGGTTCACTGAAGATTTGCTTTATTTCGCCAGCTTTTTTGTCGTGGGAGGGTTTTGTGGGGCGAGTCACGTCGCCGCTTCTCGGTGACACGTCGGCAAGTGTGCAGGAATTTGATGTTATTCGCTGGTCTCTCTGAGCGGATGGGTTAGATAAGGATAAGAGAGAATGATCTTATGTTTTGTTGCGCGCGCGGTCCCTCTCTCTCTCACCCCCCTGTGTCTCCATCTTTCCCCATCCCCGTCCCTCATCCTCGCCCCGCCCTCTCTCACTCCCTCCTTCCTCTCTCAAGCCGAACCGGCGTCGGCATGGCTCGGATAGCCTGAGGGACGGCTGCTGGCTGATAGCGCCGCCTGTGCCGTCCCCATGAAGCGAAGGTCCAAAAAAGGCCAACCGTCCTCCTTTTTTCATTTCTGCTCTCCCTGTTCTGAGCAGGCGTGGGAGCAGATCGGCAGCCAGGGGAAGTTCCGCGGCTGCGACTGGACAGTCAAGGCGTGCGCCGCTGCCTCATCGTTTTCCAATTCCCAGATAGCTGAAGGGGTGCAGTGAAGAAGCCGACCAGCGGTGGCATGTCCATAGCGCTCGAAAAAACAAATCATTGTGTTATTCAATTGATTGATTGATTGAATCGCTTCGCTCATTCCGCCGGCCCGTGATATGGCATCGCTGGTTTTTGTCTGTGTGTTCGTTGCCCATGTTGCGCTCTTGGGGGCGGGTGTCGTTCGGACGCGTTGCGTGGGGAGTTTTGATGGTGAAGCAGTTCCCTGGGGGTCGTCTCTCGATGGGGCGAAATAGAGTCGTCGTCAAGATGCTTCTTTGGGGGGCCTCTTGGGGTCTGTTGAGAGGCCGTTCGGGGGCGCCTGGGAGACATGTTTGAAGCCTTCTGGGGCTTCTTTTGGGCCTCCTGGGAGTCTCCTGGGGCCTCTTGGCGACATCTTGGGGCCTCTTGGAGGCCTCTTGGGGCCTCTTTGGGACCTCCTGGGCGCCTTCTGGGACGGAGGGCTCCATTTTTGAGTTCTCGGTGATCCCTCCTGAGTCCCTCTTGGGCCCGTCTTGGGGCCTCTTGGTCCGTCTTGGGCGGCACTTGGGCCGTCTTGAGGGCTCTCTTGGGTCGTTTCGGCGCCGTCTTGGGAGCTTCGTGGGCCGTCTTGGAGCGGTCTTGGGGGCCTCTTGGGCCGTCTTGGAGCGTCCGGAAGCCGAAAAAGCCAGAACACAAAAAACATCGAAAAAACAATGAAAATCAACGATTTTGGCCTCTTGGGGCTCTCTTCGGAGGCCTCTTGGAAGGCTCTTGGGGCGTCTTGGAGGCCTCTTGGGCTGTCTTGGGGGCCTTTTGGGCCGTCTTGGGGTCATCTTCGGCGTCTTCGAGCGCTCTTTGGGCGTCTCGGGGGCCTTCTCTTGGGGCACTCTGAGCGCGCTCTGGGGAGCCTGAGAGGCCGCACCCAGAAGGAAAACCATCTCTGAGTAGACTTGGTCGGGCGGCGGTCGGGCGGCGACCGGGCGTTGGTCGGGGTACTTTTCGCCGGGGGACCCCCAGGGGCCGCCCCGCGCGCGCGAACTAGAAATACTGTTAATACTGTTAACCAGTTACTGGAGATCTTAGCACGCCCTGGCCCGTTGGGCCGGCGAATTATTCATTTTCGCACGTACGAAGTGACTTGTTGAGTCGTGTTTTCCTTAGTGTTGTTGTGTTCTCTCTTCTGTGCCCCCCCGCAAGCTTGCCCAGGCTGGGGTTGGACTACTGTTTGAGAAAACGTTCGAAGTGGAGGTTCGTTTTCTCAAGTTAGAACTATCTTAACTCTAAGCGGGGATGTACATAAGCTATATTGTGCCAGCTGCGTGGTGCACCAAGCGCACAGGGCGCCCACGAGGCGCCCACGGGCTGCCACGAACTGGGCAACAGGCGCAACCCTGTCACGTCCGCCTAGCGCACGGAGCCTCCCAGGAGCTCAGGAGGGTGACGGCAGTTGCACAGATGGCAGCACCCCGGGAGAGCAGGCGCAGGTATGATGCAGGAGTCGGGTCGGACGGAAGGAGGGGGGTGTTGGGAGGAGGGGGTACGAAATCTGCTGCATGCACCCGGTTTCGGCTCCGCTGCCGCGCGCATTTCTCGATGCACGGGCGCCTCTGGCGCCAGGAGGCGCAGGCGAAGCCAGCTGCATGCAGCTGATTTGCTGACCACCCCTTTGCTGTGCTCGCTCTCGGCGTGGCCTGCTGAGTGGTCTCCGCCTCCTGCCGACGAGGTGGACCCAGACGCTCTCTTCTTCCCGAGCCGCATGCGCGAGCTGGTCACGGCCAGAGGCCGAGGGGCCTCCTCCCGCTGCCCTCTCGGGCAGGCCGACCTGGCCACGCAGCGGGCGGGGACGACGGGTGCCAGCGTCGGCCCACAACTCAGAGGAAGAGATACCGAGACCGTTGCCCGTCCTCGTCGCCACAGCTGGATTCGCCTCGAAATTCTGGTCAGAGCGCACCCCTCGAGAGGCCTTGGGAGCAGCGGTATCGGTACATGTTCTGCAGTCCCCCCCCCCACACACACAAACTCTCATGTTCCTATGCTTGCCTCTGCGCCTTCCTCTCCTGCGCGTGCCTCACATCACCTTTACCACTCCAACGCGCAAGGCCACGGCAATGCGATCGACAACAGACATCATGAAATTACGCCGTACATTCACACTGCCAGGCTCACCCCGTTCCATTCTACTCCATCTGAGCCCACTCCACTCAAATTCACTCCATTCCACTCCACTCTCCCTACCCCTGTTCCCCTGCCCCAATCTTCCGCTCCACTCATACGTGTAGTACGTCCAAGCCTCGAGGAGGGGGAGGGAGAAGAGATTCATGGAACAGGGAGGATGGATGAGGCAGGATGTGAGCAGGGAGCAAGGATGAGGAGGCGGAGGAGGCGGAGGAAGGGGAGGAAGAGAGAAGGAGGAGGCAGGAGGAGTATGACGACGAAGAGGAAGATAAGGAGGCGGAAGAGGGGCAATAAGGGAGGGTGGAGAGGAATCAGGAAGCTGGTGCAATGCATGACGCAGCAGGACAAGGGAGAAGAGACGCCTGAGGTTGCAGCGGCAGGAGGTGTCTGATTGTGGCGCCGCGTGGCCGAGAGGCCTCTGCCAGAGTTGTGCTGGCCCCGCCAGCGAGTGCAGAATTTGTGTTCGGTCTCCTTCCATACGCCGGGAGGCGAGGCATGCGACCGAGCGCTGGCGGCTGAGAGGTCGGCCCAGCTCGCAACAGTGCCGCGCCCAGCCGATCACATTCGGACGCCACGCCGGTTGGTGCCCAGGGCACATTCTCGCGCTCTCCCAGAGGGCCTGCGCCCTCGTTCTTTCGCGCTCCGGACCTCTCGGGGGCACCGCCGTCGCCATCATTGCTCGCAACCTTAAAGACATACTTTCGTAGTGCAGCATGGCGACCTTGCACGCTGGAATATTACAGTCAAGTTCCATTATTCCGTTGGCATTGGCACATCAATGATTGGTCGTTTGAAGGCACCTGACGAGCGCCGGGAGGTCCTTCGGCTCGCTGACCGAGGTGGACGCGGGCATGGCGGACCAGGTCGAGGGCGGGTTCTTCGCTGGAGCCGCGCGTGGCGAGGCGCAGGTGACCTGCGCCGCTTTCTTGGCCCTCTGCCCGCAGCAGATGAAGGGGGCCCAGGCGCTGCCACGCGCGGTTCGGGCGATCAGAGCATGGCACCGTTTCAGCCCTGCAACCGCGCGGGCTCCTGCGCCTTGGATGGTGGCGGCGGCGGTCGCGCGCGTAATGGCCGCGCAGGGCGTGCCGACCGAAGCGCTGATGACGTTGGTGATGTTCTCGGCGTACCTCCGCCCCTGCGAGGCGTGGAACCTTCGCGCCGAAAATGCGGCGCCGCCGTGCCCCCCCCTGTCCTGGGCGCCCGCGCTGAGCCTGCACCCAGAAGAGCGCGGGGGCACGTCCAAGACGTTCGCGACCAACGAGAGCATCTTGTTGGACCACCTGCGCCAAGGCTTCCTCGGGCTGGAGATCGTCAGGTTGGCGCTCGCCAGAAAGTCGGGCCGCTTCCTCAAGCTCAGCATCCAGCACTTCACTGCGGTGTTCAATTAAGCGCAGCACGAGCTCAACCTGCCAATGACGCACGCGCCCTACCAGCTACGACGCGGAGGACCCGCGGCAGACAGGCGGGACAACGCCCGCCCCCTCGCCGAGGTGAAGCAACGAGGCCGGTGGGCCAGCGTTTCGTCTCTTCGTCGGTACGAAGCGGGCGCGCGCCTTGAACGCGAAGAAGCTCGACTATCCAGTCCCCTCAATGGCTTTGCTTGTCCGCCATCGCCTCGTTGCCGACCGACCTTGGGGCGTCGTTGAGCCTGTGCCTGGAGAACCGCGAAAAAGGGAGTTCGTTGTGGAGATCCTCTCGGGCTCTGAGCACCTCTCGTTTGCTGCGGCCCAATGTGGATGCAGATGTTGCGCCATTGACATATGTGACTCGCCCAATCAGAACGCCCCGCGGACCAAAGTATTCGAAGCCATCAAAGCCCTCATCGCACATCCCGGTTGCAAGCTCGTCTGGATGAGGACCCCTTGTGCGTCGCGGTCGAGAGCAAGACGGGGGGGGCGGTCTGCCCCCCCCACCCCCACCCCCCACCCCGGGACTCCAGCGACCGCCTGTGCGGACTTACCGGTCTCAGTTTCCCGGATGCTCAAAAGGTCAAGGTCGGAAACCAGCTGATGAGAATTTTCGCCAGACTAGCTCGTTGGGCCGCCGGCTTCCGTCGTCAGCGCACCATAGAGAATCCGGCAAGCTCAAGAATATGGCTGACAACTGAGTTCAAGCGATTGGAGGGCCTAGGCTCTGTAATATACCAGTGTAGTTTTTGTGAGCACGGTGCCCCCTGGCAGAAAAACACTTGTCCGTTTGCCTGTTCTGCCCCGGGGCTAGCCGAGCTTCGCAGGTGTCGCATGAAAGCTGGACGTCGCGGTTTCCGAGGTAAAGTGCCCGAACAGCTTGTGGGCAAGAACCCGCAGGGCGAATTTCTAACGAAGATCGCTCAGCCCATCCGTATCCCTCGCTCTTCTGCTCGCATGTTTGTCAGATGTCGGGTCTCAGCTGATAGCCTTATATCGCGCGCTCGCCTAACCTATTTGATCAGCCGTGCTTCGCGCGTCCACCGCCAAGTTAGGGGGGCTGGGGGTATTTAGCCTTGGCACGGTGCTCGCTGCTGCGCGCTCGCGGCCTCGCGAATCGCCCCCGTGCCAGCGCTGGCGGATATCAGATTGCGGGGTTCGTGGCCTCACCTCGGTTCGTAAAATAGAGGGCCCACGCAGACATTGTCAGCGCTTGCGCGTTGTTGTCTGTCGCCGCCGTTCCGACGCCGTCTGTTGCTTTGTAGTCTTATCGGTGATCCCCAAACCGCCCCTTTTCACCCTCCGTGATCTCAGACGCAGTCTGGGGCATTAAACCTTGGCGCTGTGCTCGCTGCTGCACGCTCGTGGCCTCGCGAATCGCTCCCGTGCCAGCGCTGGCGGATATTAGATCGCTGGGTTCGTGGCCTCACCTCGGCTGGCGTTCGTAAAACAGACGGGCCCGCACATACATGCATTGCCAGTGGCGGCGTCTGTTTTCAATCCTATGATTTCTTGAGGGTCAGGCATAAGGTCGGGGTGGTGTGGCGCACGTTTGTTTCCCCGTTTTCCGCGGGAAACAACGAAACATGTATTCAACAGGATCTCGTATACGCCAGGATCCGCTTTCCTGTTCGTGTTTCAGTGCGTGGCCGGAAAAAAACGCCGGCGCATAGAGTTCGGCCCCTTAGAGAATGCATTGTGATTCCATGAGTGGAGGAGCTAAATGATCATGATTGCGCGGGGGGGTTCGCTGGATAGGATCGCGCCGGCAGCGCCGCTGCTTGCATGACCTGCCGACGCTTCGAAAACGTCGTAGTTTCTGTCGTAACGTTTCCTTCCCCTTCAATTTACTCACTTTCCCCGGCGTCGGCAGCATTTCACCGCCGACGACGTACCTCACGTCTCGCACAAACCGAAAGTGATAATCGTATGGGTGACGCTTGTGGTGCAGCGCAGTACTTACAGAGTTTGCTCCTTGCGCTATCAGGCACAAGTGCCGATACAGATGTTCAATGCGTCGACGTTGGCAAGTGGATTGGTGGTGATGTCTACAAGAAGCTGCTTCCTCAGCCAAGTGAGCTCATTGCACCAGGCAAGTGCGATGCGATAAACGACATCGCGCCACGTATACACCACATGGGTTAGATGAATCAGGCGGCTTTGAAGCGGCAGTTGCTCTCAGCGGCAGTTGCTCTCTTCAGAATTGTTCTCGGAAAAAAGCAGGGGTAGAGGGCTTCACATCAGCGGTGAAAGCTACGATCACATTGCAGATGTTTGTTTGTTTGTTATTTCCAAACGCTTCTCACATTACCCAGGTTTCTTCGGTGTTCGGTGCAGTGCTGAATCGCCCCTCTCCGCCGCCTGCATTTTGAATGGGTTTTGGCTGGCGAGTCCGCCGCCAGTGTTTTGGTTGCTCCCCGCGCTTGTTTTGCCGCATGAGTTTGCAAACTCCAGCGCCCGGGAGCAGCCGCGCGCTCGCGGGCGCTCGCGAGTGCCCCAAGGGGCGCTCCAGAGCGCGCGCGAGCGCCTGGAAGCGCGCGCGCGCGCTTGCGAGCGCTTGCGGGTGCGCGGGGGGGGGGGCGCCAAGGAGCGCATGCGAACGCGTGGGGGCGCCAGTGGGCGCGTGGAAGCACCTGCGCCCGCGCCGCGGAGAGCTTGCGAGTGCTGGGCGGGGGCGCCCGGGAACGCGCGCGAGGCGCCTGGTTCCAAAGCGCAGCCCGCCATGATATTTCAGAGTGATTCTCCGCCAGTTTTTTCTTTGGAGCTTTAACTGATTGATGTGAGCTTTTCTGTCCCGTCGCCATTTTGGGGGGACGTCAGTCGCTGCTGTCCATTATTTTCCCCGCCGCCCGTTTGTTTTGGGATCTGGAGTGTTTTCTTTGGATTCCGGTGTGATCTGTTCACAATGATTCCGATGATAGAAAAGTGGAAGCACATGGAAGCATCGCGGGATTGCACTTGAAACAAGCTGATGTGGTATTCTTTCACATTGACAAGGGATGGAACGAACCCTGGATATACATTAAACATGAAACGTGTAGCGCGTGGCCATCTTCACAGAGGCCAAGCTTCGCCTCCATCCTGGCCCGCCCAGTTCTGTATTTATTTCCCTTTTCCTCCCCCGACTGGTTGGACGGGTACGGGCGTGTGTGTGTGTGTGTGTGTGTGTGTGTGTGTGTGTGTGTGTGTGTGTGTGTGTGTGTGTTTGTCTGTGTTGCGTGCGCAGTTGGCGCATAGGGTGGGGGGCTGTGGCGAAGCCGGCGCCGTCGGAAACCTTCGCAGAAGACTCGTTCTCATGTTCAGGCTGACGTCAACCGTTAAGGCCAACGAAGACGAGGAGGAGGTGGAGGAGGATTGAGAGGAGGAGAGATCATTGCGACTCCATGAGATGACATAAACAAGTTGTTTTTGTTCCGCTAGCCTCGCTCGACGATGAGACCGTTCAGAGATGGTAGAGCGTGCGTGCGCATGCCTGAGCCTCCAGCATTCGAGGCGAAGGCGATGGATTTGAGAGTGGCATGATCCTTCCGTTTCGCGTCTTGCCTGCAGCCCCCAGTGCCCATTTTTGATTTCTCTACACGCGGGACACTATGAGATAGGAAAGACGTTTTTTCATTAGCGCCGCTCGGCGGTGGAACCGCTCAGAGATGCTGGAGTGTCCGTGCATACGCCTGAGCCTCGAGCGTCAGAGGCATGGAACTGAGAGTGGCGTCGTCCAGCCTCGTGAACTGGCCGTTTCTCCACATTGGCCCAGACAGGACGTTTAGTACATCCAGAGGTGTTTGTGTTTTCTGGTCGGTTCCCGAGTTGTCCGATTCACGTCTTGCTTATTTGAGTGGAGGAGCTAGGTGATCATGATTGAGTGGGTTGGGCGGGGGGCTTCGCTGGACAGGCTCGCGCCGGCTGCGCCGCTGCTTGTACAGCCTTCCGACGACTCGAAAACATCGTAGGTTTTGTCGGAACGTTCTCTTCCCTTTCTATCCACTCACTTTCCCCAGCGTCGTTCGCAAGCTTTTGCATTAACATCACACTCCCGCTGCGTACATAGGAAGATTTTAAGTTGTTGAAGCTTGGGGATGAAGGAAGACGATAAGGGGGAGGACGAGGAGCAGCGGGGTGGACAGTGTTTTACACTCGTCAACATTTGTTTCGGTCAGTCGACACAGTTATATTTGAAGTGCAGTCGCATCACATCTTTTCTGCTCTGCCATGTCGCGTTCGGCTGATGTCGTGGAGAAGGCAGGGGAGGACGGGGGGTTTGTGTAATTGTGGTGGGGGTTGGACGACGACGATGCCCTTTACTGCTGGGCTATCACGTTCCTGCCTGGAGAGGGCACCAATAGGTTCGAGGCGCGAGCTCGCATATTGCGCCAGCCCTGCCGTCGCTTTCAGCAACCCCGTGGGGGCAGAAGCAATTGGCAGCAGTGCGGATTCAGGATCGACCGTTGGCGAGTTTGGTGAGCGGATTTCCCGCACCTATGGCTCGCGCTTTCCTTCTTCACAATCGTAACGTTGTCCTCCTTTTCCGTTTCCCTTAACCCTTCATTACCCTCCCACATTTTAGCAGTTTGTGGGCGCAGATGTCCTAAGTGTTGCAGCTCCGCTACCCTAGCCACTCGTGCCGCGCGGAGCGACAGCCCGTGTTTTGAACCCGGTAACATTGATGGGGTTTTGTTCGGGTTGCCAGCAGGGGTACATTTGCATATAGCAGGGGGGATGGTGCACAGTAGTCATCGGATACGTCTACATAAGGAGCTTAAATTGTGGTGTTGCTGTTCGTGTGGACATTTCACCAGCCAGTGTTTGAGAAGCTTCGGGCAACCTTGCCATGAGGCCACGAACCCCAATCGAGCCATATATCTTGCCAATATTCTCGCAGGGCGCTGGCCTAAGGTCCGCAGCCGAGCAGAGTTAGCTCGTCGGGCTTCGTAATCCACCCGAACTCGCTTCGCGACCGTCACTCACTAACCCCCTCTTTACCCTCTCTTGGGCTAGGTAGGGGCGCGCTGCATTCATTCAGGAGCCACTCACGATTGGGATCCCGATCGAAAAACTGCCACATCTTGATATGCGTGGCATGCTGCCAGCCTCCTCGCAGTTGTTGTGTCGAGCATCGCGGAAGAGGAAGTCAGGATGTATGAGGTGGAGGTGATGAGGAGGAGGAGGAGGACGAGGACGAGGAGGAGGAGGAGAGGAGGAAAACAGCTTCTACAAACCTCGTGGGGGCAGACCCTCGGACAGGGTAGACGTGACCATCGACGAGGGCGTCGCCATGCACAGCGTTCAAGGGGCATCGCACCATTGGCCCTAACCAGCATCGAGTGGCACATCTTCAGTTACACGTGCCATACAGTTGAACGTCGACCTCACATGATTCGCCGCGAATCTTGAGCCTCAGCCGCGTGTTGCTTCAGCCGTGAGTGCACATTCGTTGAGCTTACAGGCTTACGTTCGGCCCTCCCAGGAACTGGGCTGACCGTGTCAGTGAGGCTTTTGGAATGGTCTCACTGGACCTTGGCGAGGTCTTAGGGGGCATCTGTTGGGGGTGGGTGGGAGGTGGGGTAGGTCATGGCGGTGGGAACGACACAAGACCATCATCGAGAGCACATGGGATTTGTCTTACGTCCCTGGGGTTCCTTGCGTTACCTGGCCATGCAGCATGGTCTGCATGCTCTACTCTTTTTTCTCTCACTGTCAATAGTTTGCTCCTCTACTTTCTGCTTGCTGCTAGGTCAGGTCTGTCCCTCTGCCTTTTTTTCTCCCGGATGAACGCTATAGGGTTTGCACCTAAAGTCCGCGCAAAGTAAAACAGAAGGAGGAGGAGGGGATGATGATGTACGGGGAAGGAGCGGGCGGAGAAAAGAGGCGGGATCAGCTTAATTAAGCTCGAGCACACCATCCGGCAATCAAGCCGAGGAAACACACACTTCGCACCTCTGATTCCCGAAGACCCCTTCTCGGTGATCATGATAGCGGTTCTGAAAGCCCAGCTCCAGCCTGCCTTGAGCAAGGTGCTCCACATGGTGAGCTCTTTGGGCGCTGGGCACGTGGCCTTCACCGCGTTCGTCTCCCTGTACGTATGGTTCCTCCCAGCGGCGACGACCCACCTGCTCTTGGCCGTCCTTGGCGCTGCCTCCTACGGCGCCCTGCTGATGGTCCAGGAGTCCGGATACGGGAAACGCCTCAATACCCACGGCCTCGCGGACCGGGCCCCTGGGCCGCGACCCACTGGATGCGGAGTGTTCTTGTTCGCGGATGCCCCGCGCAGAACGTATCCATGCGGCCGCGTATCCACGGAATCATGGCCCGCAGTCCAGGCCGATGTGGACACGGAAACGTGTGTTCGCCGCTCGTGAGGAGCTCGGCTTCTGCGAGCACCCGGGCAAGCAGGGCGCGGGGGAGCTGCCCGCCGACCAGGGGGCGCAGCCGGGGGCGCGGCCAGCAGTGGCCCGCGGCCCCCGCGCGCGGCGCGCCGTGGCCGAACCACAGCGGAAGGACCCCAGCTCCGGGCGAGCTTGGGCGGGCAGCGAGGACTGCGGCTCCACGCCGCCACGGGCGGCCGACCAGGATCGCCAGGAAGCAGCTGGGTCCCAAGGGGAAACGGGTCCGTCGGAGAACAGCTCGGGACGAAGAGGTGGTCCTGGCGGAGGGCCCTGGTGTCTAGGGCCCGCTTCCCTCGGGACCCGCCTGCTTCTTGCCGACAGGAGCTCGCCAGCTCCAGGACACGTCCGTGGAAGAAGAAGAAGGAGAAGTCGCCCGCGCCCAGCGAGACCGCCGCGCCGGGCAGCGGCGCCGCCCCGAGGCCGGAGGGCAAGGCGCAGCTGTGCGCTGGGCTGGCTGCGGCGCGCCGGGCGATCGACAAGGGGGTGCCGCCGGCCGGGCCGCCAGCCTGCAGGGATGATGCCGTGGCGCCGCCGACCGCGGAGCCAGCTTGCCAGGCAGGGGCCAAGGAGCAGCTGCCCTCGGCGTCCGCTCCAGCGGCGGCCACTGCCGAGCTCGCCGCGCTGTCGCCGCTCGTCCCCGACGGCTTCGAGGAGGCCGCCGTAACCAAGGCCGCCAAGCGGAGGAGGGCCGCTCAGAAGAAGCTGAATGAGGCCTCCGAGGGCCCCCACGCGAAGCCATAGAAGCCCGCGGCTGCAGCGACTGAGCCCATGGCTGTGCCGACAGAAACCTCCCAAGAGGCGGACCACCACGCGAAGCCAGTCGAGCCCGCGGCCGTGGCGACAGAGCCCACGGCTGAGGCGACAAATACCTCCCAAGATGCGGACCAGATGAAGCCAGTCAGGGCCGCGGCTATGGCGACAGATACCTCCCCGGGGGTGCGAGCAACGGCTGTTCAGAATGGAGTCGAGGTGGCGGCTAACCCGGGGTTGCCGCCAGGGCTGGAGCTTGTTGAGAAGCTGCCGGCCAGAACGTGGGCCGAGCTGGTCGCCGTGCCGTCTGCGCCGCTGGGGGGCATCCAGGCGAGCGTCCTCCCAGCGACCCCGCCGCCGGCCTACACCCCAGTCCTGCAGCAGAGCCAGCAGGCTGAGAATACGGGAAGCGTGCCGGCGGACGTGGGCGGCTTTGCTGCCTCCGAGTCGTTCCCGCAGGAGTCGCTTCTCAAGCGCTCTGGCGTCTACACCTTCAGCCCTAACCAAGACAAGTTCTCTATCCAGCTGGCTGGGCTCGTGTCGGACCCGGGCCCCCAGAGTCTTCGCATCCTGGCGCCGCCACCCGCGGCGTCGCACGCCCGCCGCGTCGAGTTGTGCCAGCGGGAGGACACATGCTGGGTCTACCTCAGGAAGGGGTACTGCCCTCGTGGTCCGGCTTGCACCTGGATGCACCCGCCGCTGCCGGGCCGCGCCTGAGGCCCCGCGCGCCCAGTCTCGGTGCCCAGCTCCGCGGGCCGGCCGGAAACCGGAAGCTGCTTGGGCGCGCGGCCCGCCAAGGGGCCGTGGCCCCGACGCGCCCCTCCGAGAGCGTGACCGTCCTCGCGCTCCTCACGCGCACGGGCGGCTCGAGAGCGCGGGGCCGACCGCGCGGCCACTTCTTGCGCGCGAGCTGCCCGCGAGCGGCCGCGCTCGAGGGCCCCCTTGCTTCCAGGTGCGGTGTGCAGTGTCAGCGGCCCTGCGTAAGGTCGCCGTCCTTTTACCTCCGTTGCGCACGTGAGCCATTCGAGAAGACGGGGTCGACCGCGCGGGCGATGGCGCGGAAGCTGCCCACGTGAAGTCGATCGCCAGCGCCATCCCTTCCGTGCGGTGTGCCAGGCGAGCGGCCCGCGTAAGCATGTTGCCGGACCTTCGCGCTTGAGGCCCGCTTTTCTTCGCGGCCCATGCGCGGCTGCTTCGATCGCTCGAGCGCGTGTGCGAGGATCTACGGTCGGGCACGTTTGCTTAGCGTGTCGCACCGCTAGTTCTGGCCCACCACGCCTCGGCGCGACACGCTAAGCACTTCCCACTTCCCGAGTCACGAGGGCTGAGCGACACGCCATTTGTTTGCTATCCATGGCCGTCGCAGGGGCCGCCGCCGGGCTGGTAGGCCTCCCAAGCGTGAGCAAATTGGGGCCCCTGGATCATACACCACATCGCCAGTGCGTTGGCGATGCAGCGTGTTCTGGGGCCAGACCTCTTCCAGCTTAGCACCGGCGACGCATCTCCGACGCCTGGAGGGTTCGGGATAGGATTACAACGATTAGGACAGCGGGGAGCTGGGGCGGCCCTCTACGTTTGCCCCCCTTCCCAGCCCTCGGAGAGGGGGTTAAGCTCATGGAGTCGGCCCATCCCCCTCTGCCCAAAGTCCTTTCGGAACCCTCCAGGAGGCGATGCGATCTCGGGAGCCCGTTGGTTTTGGCCAGGCTGTGGAAGCCTGCAGGGGAGGACGATGGTGTCTGCGATGAAGGACTTGGGTCCTTAGGGAAAGCGGCTCTAGACTTCGAGGCTTTCCCCATGACCAGCTCTTCATCCTGAGTCGCCCTTTCACAGTGCCAGGGCACGTGAAGGGCCCCAGGGGTCGGCTAAACGTACGAGCGACCCTGCACCAGAGTGACCTTTGGGTTTGCGGCTTTCGGGGGGCGTGGGGGGGGCCCAGCCCCAGGCACACAGACTGCTACTGTCGCAGCGCACGCAGCGATCGGCACGGTTGCGCACCAAAGGCCACTCTTGCCCAATGTCACTCTTGCGTGTAGCCGAGAAAGCGGCGAACAGACATCCAGGACCCGTTTCTTTCGTGCTGAGGCGGAGAGCGGGCGGGATGGACGGCGTCGGGTACCGGCCTCCTCGGCGGACCTCGGCCGACCGTCCCGGCTCCTCCACGGTCGCGAGCCGAGGGGCAGCACCTTTCCCTCGGTGCCGCATCCACATTGTCCAGTGGCCTTCGGCTCATCCCGCCGCCGTGCCTGGGTCGTTGACAAGAGCGCTCCCAGGGACCTCATGGGGTCGCCTCTCTGGAGGCTCCTGGGGCCTTTCAGAGGCCTGTAGGGGGCCTTCTAGGGACATCGGGGGGCCTTCGGGGGCCTCGTGCACTTCTCGGGGGCCTAGGGGCGGTCTCGGGGGCCCCTCTTAACCCCTCGTGGGGCCTTCGTGGGGTCCTCTTGGGTCTTTCTTTGGGGCTTAGGGGCCGTCTTGGGGCGACATTGGGGGCTTCTCGCGCCGTAGGTTTTAAGGCTCCTAAGAACAATGATGCACCAGCCTTAGGCTGTTCAGTGTTTTTGGCCTCTTGGGCCGGCCCACGGGACCTCCAAGATGGCACAAGAGGTCCCGAAAAGAGCCCTAGGACCGCCCTGTGGGACCATCTTGGGGCATGTTGGAAGTTTGGATCCCGAGCCAAAGTTTCGCGCAGTGAGGATGGGAGGTGAAGATAAAGAAAGCCGTGAAGGGAAGGAGGATGATGAGTGATGTGGACACTGATTGCCACGATGATGGTGATGATGGTGGTTCTAGCGACGATCGTGGTAATGATGATGAAATCATAATAGCGAGATGATGATGATGATGATGATCATCATAATCATGCTCATGATGATGATGATGATGATGATGATGATGATGATGATGATTATGGTGGTGATGATGATGATGGTGATGAAAATGATGATGATGATGATGATGATGATGCTGGTGATGATGATGATGATGCTGACGACGACGATGATGATGATGGTGGTGGTGGTGACGACGCTGTAAATGGTGATGGTGACGGTGGTAGTGACTCTGATGATGATGCTGTAGATGATGATGATGATGATGATGATGATGATGATGATGATGATGATGATGATGATGATGATGATGATGATGATATTGCTGATACAGATGATGCTGATGATGCTGATGATGATGATGATGATGGCAAGGGTGATCATGCTAATGCTATGATGGTGGCGATGGTGATGGTGGTGGTGGTGATGCTAATGGTACGGTATTTGAAGTTCGACTCTGATGACGTTGACAGTGATGATGGTGGTGATTACGCCTATGTATGTGCTATTGGTAATGCACGGTTGGTGATGATGACGAATTGAAGGATGCTGATTGGTATGCAGAGCGATGATGGCGACGATGTCAATGTCGACGATGGTGATGACGAGATATGGCTGGAGGTCCACGACAAGCGATGCTGAGAATAAGAAAGAGGATGGGGATGATGATAGCGAGGAGGAGAAAGAGGGTGATAATGATGAGGAGGAGGAGCATGATGAGAAGGATGATGAGGGGGGGGGACGGACGAGTGTGGAATCTTGTCGGCGGCGATGGGGACGATGGGAGGATGAATATGGGGAGGAGGAGGAGGAGGAGGAGGAGGAGGAGGAGAAGGTCAGAAGGATGCAGAACGAAAAATGGGTACGAGGATGAGGTGTTGGGGGGGATGATGATGATGCTGATGATGATAACGATGATGATGACGATGGTGACGATGCTGATGAGATTGTGGTAAAATTGAGTATGCTGGTGAGGATGCTGATGATGACGATGTTGGTGGTGGTGATGGTGACTATTATGATGACGATGTTGTGGTGTTTGATGCTGATGCTGATTACGATGCAGATGGTGGTGGCCACGACGACTATGATGACGAGGATGACCATGATGGTGATAACGATGATGCTGCTGCTGATGATGGTGATGTTGAGTGTGATGATGAGGATGATGAAGAAGATGGTGATCATGATCATGAGCATCAGCATGTTCATGATCCTGATGATCATGATGCTCATGCCATGATGACGGGGAGGAGGAGGAGAAGGAGGAGGATGAAGAGGAGGAGGAGGAGGAGGGCTGATGATGTGCTGTGAGGGATGAGGATGGATGAGGAGGGGTGTTTTTTTTTCAACAGTAACCACTACCACCAGCAAGACTGGATTGCAAAACTTAAATGTCAAGTCTGAATCAAGCTTTCAGGCAGTCTCACTCGAGACCCATGATCCTGTCATGGCCAACCCGAGTCGTGAAACTGCACTTCAGGTGAAGGCCCCTGAGGACCCGTGTGTCCCACATGGACTTCTTTTGAGGGCTCTTCAGTAATGCACAAATGTTAGGCCAGACTTTCTGAGCGAGCCTAGCCCGCAGTACGCAGCACAGTGGGTGCAAGTATGGAGCAGGCTCCATCACTACACGGAGGATCTAGAACGAAATGCCCCAGCCGCTCCATCTCACCGAAGTCCCAACCCCCACCCAGTAATCCCAGGACGACCGTCTGGCGGAATTGAGACCGAGAGGCCCTGGAACAGGACGAGCAGCGCCAACGGCCAGGCACAAAATCCCATAACTGCTGGGGTCTGCCAGGGCGCTTCACCATAAGCCGGCAAGCAAGCGCCCCAAAAAGACCTCCGAGAGGTTTAACCCCAGCCATTTAAACCGGCATGCAGCAGCGAGCTTGCAAACAGTACTGGCAATCAGGAGAAGCGTTTCCAAGGCCACCTCCTGCTCGTCACTTAACCCTGAGGTGCAGACGGTTGCCCGCATTCGCAGCCTCGTCGGCTTGAGAGTTTTTCTCCGACCCATCTCCTCGACGGACAGACCCTCGTCGTTCATAGACAGGTGGGCTTTAACTTGTTGCCTCGAACGTATGTGGTGAACGGCGAGCTGCCCGCGCAAAGGGAGCCCACCGTAAGGCCTCTGATAGTGGAATTGTTCACCAAGGGGTCTGTTGGCCTGCACATGAACGTTAGCACAGTCCGTGTATAACTTGTTCGGGCCTTCAATGAGCTGGCCCGCGCACCGGGAAGCAGCAAATTCTCCTGCGTGAGACGTTTTTTGGGGGGCCGCCGTAAGCCGTGCCGAACGCCCGTCCCTGGAAAGGGCTGTCGCGGCCAAAAATGGCCAAACCCCAGGCCGTCCGATTAAGTTATGACAACACGTGGCGCGACGCACTGCCATCCACGAATGGCTCCCCCGAAACCAATCGCTCATCTGACTTCATCCCCTCCTTTCGCTGCCAGGCCACAGATCCCGACACGTCAGGGCGAGGCCAAGCATCACTGGGGTGGGGGGGGGGTACCGCACGGATCAGCAAGAGCATGTCCTGAGGGTCGTCCTCGTCCATAGTGTTCACTGACTCCTAACATTTGCTAGGCACATATCAGCACGCTCTTCGTCACAAGCCGTGCAGTTCCAGATCCCGTGCGGCAGAGTACAGGCCCCTGGCGGCATAGCTCGCACTCGACAGACTCCACCGGGTAGGTAACACAGGCACCGAACATTATGATTTGTCCACGACGCATCGCACCCGATCGCTCGCACAGCTGCCTTCCCAGCAGGTGAGACCTGCGGAGTTGCGCGCTTGATGGCATCGAAGCAAGGGCGGCAGCACGGCCTGGTGAAGCGTGGTTTGAGGAGACCAGGGCCAGCCCCCGTAATAATGTTAATTTCGC